TTGCAGCTCGAGTGGGGGTTCAGGGGTGTGGGGAGCTTTCCGGGGTTGGAGCGAAGTTTTCAGTTGTGGAGTGAATTCTCAGAACTGGTCTCGCTAAAGAGAATTCACTCCACAACAACATAGCTGTATATAGATCGAGCCACTGCTCGAGTGCTCCTCTTCTCTTTCTCTAGATTGAGTTTAATTCATAATACCCAACTGGCGCCCTATGCCTTGGTGAACCGTGACAGTAAGGATGCCTCCTTACCTAGATACTCGAAGAACCTGCCTCAGAGCTGTTACGGTCACTACAAGCATGAAATCCGACTCGGTGTGGTTTCGAACCAGTAGAGGAGCACATAGCGAGTTACACTATAATGGGGGACGGTAAGGGTGTAGGGTTCAGGGTCAATGCAGACCTGTTGCGGTGGAAGGTTCAGGGCTAGGGTTGGGATAACCGAGTCGGGCCCGTTTCAGGTACTTAAGGAAACAGACTGAACGGGGTGTAACGCTGACTTCTAAATGATAGAAGACACAGAGGTTCTCTTGCGTAAAGGTTTACTTATCAGAGGAGGCAGGGGATCAGACACAAAGGCTTCAAGTAACACATTACTAGTATATAACAAATACTGTATTGAGTTGAGCACGAAGCTCCTATCTAAGGAAATACTATCTACTTATATAGTGGCGTCGTGCCTAGTGGACTCTTGGGAACTCACTCGAGTCCTCGGAGTCCTGGACTCTTAGGACTCTTCTCATCATCCTGCGAGTCCATCACGTGCCTAGTGGACTCCTGGGAACTCACTCGAGTCCTCGGAGTCCTGGACTCTTAGGACTCTTCTCATCATCCTGCGAGTCCGTCACGTGATACTTTCGGAACTACTATTCCCCGCTGCCCCTCCAGGTACCAGGGCCGGTCTCATGCGACCTCCCTCCTTCCTGTCCTGTAGTTGGCCAGCCTTCTTGTTCCGTCGTAACACGGGGTTCCCCCTTCATCCTTTTTGTATCCTTCGTAGTAGACCTATAGGATAGCATCCGTTTAGCCTCTGACTCGCACTCTCATATGCTATTACTGTGAGCTGGGTGCCCTGTGTCCTTACATTGCCATGGCCTCAATCCTATACTTCTTGGCCGGGACTTGCACTCTATTTACGACATGGATGCAGCGGGGAACCAGTGTGTGTATATACTACTTATGACAGGAGATAAAAGTGGTGCTCTCATAGTCTGATCTTCATGGACTCTCTAAGACCTCACACGTACAACAAGACAACTAAGGAGGTACTGTTCACAAACTCGAGAGTTATTTTAAACATCCATGACGCTGTCAGCAACGTTAGCACAAAGTTTGTAGACTGGCGAAGGTTATTCTCATTCCCAGAAGAGAGCTTGCGCTCAGCATATCTCTACCAACAGGACCATCATTATGCACTTCGACCACTTCGTATTGAAGACGCTACCGGCACTTAGGGTTAGGGTTAGGGGTGAAAATTTCAGATGTAACTCTTGAGTCACTTACATTGCGTCTGGCTAGAAAATTACCTGATGAACTCTAGAAGCTTGGTTCCAAGTTATACGTCAGCACTGATGGACTTGGAGGTGGTCGGATGGGTGACATACCTGAAGAAACAACCCCGCAAAAGAGAGAAAGCTACCTTTGGACCTTGACTAGTCAGCTGCACTGACTTCCTCGCATTGTTGAAGAATAATGTAGTGGCTCTGATTTTGAAAAGGATGGATGAATGGATTACCTCGGCGACAACTAAAAACAATTGCTCAGAACTTTAAGTCAACGTCACTCTTTCGTCACCATATAAGAATAGTCGACGTCATAAATTCTTGCTAAAGTCTTAATATTACATGCCTTCCTAGACGTTCTAGCCTTCTCAGATATATTTCTACTAAATCTTCATTTATAATTAAAACAGGCACATCTGCTTTGTCTAACCTAACCTCTTAGATAGACTTGTGCAACTAGGCTATACTATCACAACCGAGAAGCTTCCTCTAAGATATTGGAAATGACGGAAGCTCCCAAGGATATTTCTGGAAGGATATTTCATTTTAAGCCTCCACATGAATTGAGTCTGCATGCAAGACTAGAAAATAACATTGATCGGATGTATCAGATGCACCTTGTTATCGTCTTGGGGGAATTATTGTATGGAAAAGTTAATTTTGTCACCATCACATTTCACATTGACAGGCGACAGAAGCCTTGATAATCGAGTTTATGTGCCGATCCGTGCACCCCACTGGGTTCTCAGCGACAACCGCCCTCAACTATGCTTTGCGGGCGACTATCCGGGTGCGATACCTTGTGCAGTGACAGAGTCCATCGAGCTTCCAAAGCCTCAGAGTTATGTAAGGCTAGACTCTAGGAGAGAAGTCTTATTTGAGACTCTGTACGAGTTTCACGGACAGAATGGATCTGACTACCCTCGCCTACCAACAAAGTCTAGAAAGCTGCTTCGATCGCTTATCACTGATGCTGAAAGGTGATTTATATCCCAGAGTGACTGGGCGAGCAGGGACATACAAGAAACACCATCACTTGCACTGTCAGTCTACATGGATATTTATCGACGTGTTGAACAGGTCACAAAGGAGAAGAACATACTTTGTGACTTGCGAAACAAGGATCATCGCCTTCCAGCTGTGATTAATGAATATCTTGAAGGGGATTGGTTGCACCAAGAGAAAGAACTGAGCAGACTACTTGTGCAGCAAGAAAAGATGGTGTATTGTGCAGTACACAATCTTATGGATAAGAAAAAACATAGTGGTGAGGGGGGACAGTTGATTACATTCTAGCTATGTACTGATGCAGAAACTAGCCGAGTGATAACTTCTGCTTGCTAGGGTAACTTACAAGGGTAAGTTAGCTACAAGGGTAACTTCACTACAAGGGTATATACAGAGTACTGATATCATAGTGCGAAGGTCGAGTGAAGCCCCAGCTGGTAAACACTGCCTGGCTCGAGGCAGATTAGGGCCCCGCTCCACGATCCGACTCCTATATATAAGGCCAACCTCTCCTCGAAAAACCTCTTTCTCGTTAGCTTAATATTAAAATACAAGGCCATTTTAATCATCACAAGATCACATCTCAACAATAAGCAGTTAGATGCTAGATAACATCTAGCAAACATGGTCAAGAGGCATATTTTATCTACTCTTGCCTATCATAGTAAGTAGACTTCTGCATATAAATCCATTCCGCTACAGACTACTAACATCACCATAGCACTATCCTAGGCTGTTGTATACTCTGCTGGATAAAGAAAATTTTCAACATCGCTGGTTAATTTTATCAAACGCCATCCAATTTATACTAGAACCTCAGATATGTGTTGGGAAGAAAAATGCAAAGTATGTTCGCACATCGGCCCAGTCATTAAATGTATAGATGCAGAGCAATATGGGAAACAATGTCCTCTTTATTCCACAAAACAGGTCCAGTGCCCAGCTTGTCGTAATAATAGCACTAGCACTAAGAGGGTTCGAAGAATTTGGTGTTTTTAATAGAATAATCAGGCAGAAGGAAAACTTGAATTAGGCGGATGAGAGTTAAGCCACGCGGTTAAGTCATTAATATATAATGAAATAACAGAAATCTCGTATAACCGTGACATTCGTACATCAAATTCTTATTTCCCAATCAAAGCATTTCAGCCTTCAAATAGATCCGAGCAAAGTGACTCCATTAGACATCATGATTGTTGAGCCATAATAGTCCACGCACTTGTGACTAGCCTCTCCTGGAGTAACATAGGTGACTCCTGAATATAAGCCTAGTTCATTATAGAACATAAACTGCATCGAACTGCAATTGATTGCGTTGGCATTATTTATGCTGGAGAATTGAAGACTTTTAATTTGCGCCTCACCCCGGTTTGTCCAATCAAGTGGTTTAACAACCCCATCTGTCTGAAAGTGTTGTAAGAGGGAGAGCTCGGAAGGTTTTGTTTTCGCCGTTGCCGCTGTTTCTGCCGTTGCCGCATTGAGGTGCTTCGAAGCCAACGAGTATGATTTGGCTACATCGGTCCGAGTCTATAGTCAAATCCCTTGCAACTTGATGCTTATATGGTACCAGTACTGAGTAAACCGGTATAGGAGACACGCTGCAAATCAACACCAATGCCGAAGCAGTGATTGTAAATCTAGGTTTGGCGTTAGGATAGTAGCCTAAAGTTGCCATTGGTGTTTACCTACAAGGAGAGCATATTACAATGATATCAAAGATTTTTAGCCGTTGCTTTCTCATGCCTAATGTAACCTTATTTTGACAATTTAAATTTCTTACCCCAGTCTTGGCAAATCCATCAATAGACCCGATAATACATGCGGCTGCCTGGTTATCAACTATGGATCAAGGCAGGCACAGCGGCTAAGTCGAGGCAGAAGATCAACTCTAGATAGGTGCAGCGGATAAGCTGGCGCGGGAGAGGGAAGGATTTAGGTGCAGGTGCCAAGTTGACGCGGAAGGGGGGAAGGATTCAGGCAGAAAGGGGTAATTTAGAGGTGGCCCCCACGCCGACGCCGAGGATTTCGAAAATACTACTCTACTCCTTTGTTGAGTATCTCGCTGAGGAGAAGAACCGTGCATCAGACACAACTATTTCGAAAACATCTCTCGGTTGTGATGAGAACAACTACATTGAAGGTCATGCTTGGGAGAAAACTATTATTGGCATCGCACCGAGGAAAAGAACCGTAAGTCAAATCATGTTTTAGCTCTTTAGTTGGAAAACAATGAATCGACTTTGGCATCGGCAAGGAAATCTCGCGGCATCCCCCAATTAGCCAAGGGCCGAAACCTGGAGGTCGGATCCACGATCCGGAATATAGCTTTAAGCGGTTGGGGGCCTCTATTTTGATATTTTGATCATAGCTACTCTAAATATTTCAAGCAACAATGAGATCTACTGGCTATTTACAAGCTCCAAGGGCCTCAAGATGCCCGGAAGCATACCCCGCAACTCCACCACCCGTCATGCCGTCCCCATGAGACCCACCCATCATTCCGCCCCCTTAAGATCCACTCCCACCCCCCTCAACGCATCCACCGCCCACTCCGGATACCTCTCCTTATCCCCCTCATACAGATCCGAAAAGAAGCGCCTCAAGAACGCCGGATACCTATCCTCCACAATCGCCTGCCTCACCCTCCTCATCAGCTCCAGCTGATACCACACATTATGCATCGTCAACAGATGCGCCCCCACCGTCTCCTTCGCCGCAAGATGATGCGCAAACGCCCTCGTCACACCCAACCCCCCCTCACCCTCCCTACAACACCTACAGCCGCACCCCTCCTCAATGGGGCCCAGATTATCCGCATACCGCGCGTGCCGCATATTCAGCACCCCCTTCCCCGTCACCGCGTTCCCAAACCGCGCTGTCCGCGTCGGCCACACGCAGTCAAACATATCCGCCCCTAAGGCAACACTCACAACCAGATCCTCAGGATACCCAATCCCCATCACATACCGCGGCTTATTCTCCGGTAGCTGCCCCGTACACGCATCCACGACCCTGCAGTAATCCGCCTTCGCCTCCCCCCCACTAAGTCCCCCAATCGCAATCCCCGGCGTCCCGCGCGCCGCCATAGCCTCGCAGCACTCGCGCCGCATGTCCAGATCCAACCCGCCCTGGATGATGCAGAAGAGGTTCTGCGTCTCCGGCTTGGCGTGCGCGGCGATGCAGCGGTCGAGCCAGCGGATGGAGCGGTGCATGGCCTCGCGCATGCGGGCGGCGTCGGGGGAGGTGGTGACCAGGACGTCGTCGAGCTGCATGATTATGTCGGAGCCGATGGTGTTTTGCAGGCTGATGGAGTGTTCGGGGGTAAGGAGCATGGGGGAGCCGTCGTGGGGGGAGAGGAAGCGGACGCCTTCTTCGGTGATGGTGGCGAGTTCGAGGAGGGAGACCATTTGGAAGCTAAGGGGGTGTGAGTGTTAGTTTGGAGTTGGTGGTGTAGGTGGTAAGGGGTAAGGACTAACCCGCCGCTGTCAGTCAGGAGGTTGTGTTTCCAGCCCTGCAGTTTATGTGCCCCGCCGATCGTGTCGAGGACCTCCTGACCAGGCTTGAGACCGAGATGGTAGGTGTTGTTCAGACATAGTCGGCAGCCCGTCTCTTCTAACTGCTCTGGCGTGAGGCCCTTGAGAGACGCCTGCGTCGCAACGGGCATGAAGAGGGGAAGCTGGACGGGGCCATGGGGGAGGACAAGCGTGGCCGCACGTGCCTTTGTAGTCTGGGTTCGTATTAGCTTAGGTTCGCTTTGTATAATTTCCCTGACCAGCTTACAGAACAGCGTGCAACCAGCTTAAAGGTCAGCGCCGATGGCATGGGCGGCATCAGGGGCGGTTCAGTTGTCATCGTAGTCGTCAACGTCTTGGCATTTCAAATGTGAGACCTCACGTGTAGCCCGCGGAAAGAAATTCGTGGCATGGCTTATCGTAGCATGGCTTATCCCTTATCTTATCGCAGAAAGGGCAAGGAACGACAATTAATAATCGTCGGAACCGACCCTTGCAGAATTACCGCGGCTGCTAGCACCAGACTTGCCCTCCAATTGTTCCTCGTTAAGGGATTTAAATTGTACTCATTCCAATTACAAGACTTAAAAGAGCCCTGTATTAGTATTTATTGTCACTATCTCCCCGTGTCAGGATTGGGTAATTTGCGTGCCTGCTGCCTTCCTTGGATGTGGTAGCCGTTTCTTAGGCTCCCTCTTGTAACACTGACTTCTAAACGATAGAAGACACAGAGGTTTCTTGCGTAAGGTTGACTTGACAGAGGAGGCAGGGGATTAGACACAAAGGCTTTCCAAGTAACACGTTACAGTATTGTAAAGAATACTATATTGAGTTGAGCACGAAGCTCCTATCTAAGGAAATACTATCTATTTATATAGTGGCGTCGTGCCTCATGGGTAATCTGGATAGTTGGCGGATAGCTAGATATTCAGGATAGTTCAGGGATAGCTCAACTATCCAATATCCACTAGTTTCTGCAACTATCCATTAGCCCCGTCACATGGCAGCCTACCCCGCTTTCCACTGTGACTCACACGTCACGTTACTAGGCCCTGGCCCTGTAACCATGACATCATGTTATTATAGCCGTAACACCTCTCTAGAATAGAACCCTATTGCATAGGGTTAGGGTAAGTAAAGAGCGCTTGTAGAAGCAAACGGCATTTACTGCTAATGCTTACTGCCACTTCGTATCATATCCCTATCCATAGCCTTAACATATCTATAGCTTATAATTTGTATACTACAACTATGTGATTGAAATGATAGAATAGGGTCTTACATTTAGAAGACCCTGTTCTATCTAATGCTTATAAATGGCTAATGCTTATAAATGGCTTGCTTTAATCATCAATTACTTGACTTAATCACACACGAGTTGGCTGTAGAGGACATAATAAGCTCCTTACAATTGCTTAGACGAAGGCCCTTAAAGAGTAGATAACTATGTAATATAATCAAGGGCTTAGAGCAACGAAGCAGATGACATTTGCTAGTGTTTGCCATATTCGACGGCCAAAACCACCGCCTTCATATAGTTGGCTTACGAAATTCATTAAGAATGACCTTTCTGATTTTCATATCATAAAAACGAAGCCTATTGCTCTATAGCAGGTTCAAGCTTAAGATGAGAGCATTCTTTAAAAGTGGTTTCGTAATTATAACGATTTTATCACAACTCGGAATATAGGAGTAGATTCTATATGGAATATGAGACTAGCTTTAAGTTGGAATTCTAGGAGGTAAAACAGTGATAGTTCTACATGGAGTTACAGAGCTATATACAGGAAGTCCTGAGAATCGAGCTTTAATTACAGTAATCGAAGCTGTGTCTGCAAGTAGAATAGTTACTCCACCTATACTCATTATTCTAGGCAAAGTCCATATGGACTTGTGGTACCATCTAAGTCTTATTAACACAGAACAGGTTCTATTATCAGAATTAGGATAATGTATGTGTATAGCGAATGTGCCAAACTAGTGAATGTGCCAAACTAGTGAATGTGCCAAAATATCGCGATGATAGAATAAATATGAAGATAATTCCACTACTATGTCTAAAATCAATTAAAGCTACGCAGAATCCTCTTCCCTAGATATCGCTACTGTAATCTGACAAGTATGTGCATTATGTCCGGTCTCACCACAGTTGCCACAACGCCTTGCACGTGTTTCTTCCCTCAGCTTCCGACCACTACTTGCCTTTGTTTCTTATTCTACTTGATGTATAACGTCACTATCATCCTGTAGACCTTGCGCTTCTTGTTGAGTAGTGACCCTCCATGTTGTAGTCATGTTTTTTCTGCATTTGCTTAGTACTTCATTTGCTCATCGAAGATTTTGGTTCTCCATGTGCAGTAACTCGAACTGGTGCATTATTTGTGATGCACCCTTTGTGAACTGGTCAACAGTGTAATGGTGGGTGCACCAGATGTGAGAATTTAGCCACCCAAGGCAGGGGTGATTTTACTAAGACAACACACTGTCTTAGGAAACAGAGCCAAAGGGTCGTAGCTTAGACTATTCCACAATGCAGCAATCAGGTGTATGATGTAGTGGAGTGGTTTAGACAAGTTGTAACAAATGTTGAGTCTGAGAACTCAGGGATAATGTAATGGTGGGTGCACCAGATGTGAGAATCTAGCCACCCAAGGAAGGGATGAATTTACTAAGACAACACACTGTCTTAGGAAAAAGAGCCAAAGGGTCATAGCTTAGACTATTCCACAACGCAGCAATCAGGTGTGTGATGTAGTGAAGTGGTTCAGACAAGTTGCAACAAATGTTGAGTCTGGGAACTCAGGGGTAAGTCAGAGGTTAACACCTCACTGACTTTTCAGAAACAAGGAGTAACAAGATGAATGCTTGGAAGCTTGGAAAATATGTGGAAGTATGTGATAGTCGATTTACTGTATTGTCTGCTTGCCCTTTCTTAAGGAAAGGGCAATCCTATTTATGCTAAAGGAATGTAGTTCTCTCATTTTCCAAGACTTTCCAATACTTACCAGGCTTGGTAACTGTAGTCGATGTAAGAGAATCCCATAGAACCATCTCTTAGGTTCGTAGCCTATAGGAAGTAAAAGGAGGTCCAAGGTCAGAGTACCCCTATAGACAAATTATGTCATAGACAAATTATGTCATAACTTAACCAATCTTGTGGGTAACTAAAGAGCGATGACATGTAATGAATCATAGAGGTTCGTAGGAGCTTTTAGAGCTATCGTTCATGCTCCTAGGCCTCTAGTTGGTAGAGATATGTCATGTGGTAGTATGAGTGATGTCATGTAATGAATCATAGAGGGTTGTAGAGATATGCTATGTGGTAATATCGGCCCAGTAACTAAGGAGCGATGATGTGTAATGAATCATAGATGGTTGTAGCAATTGTTGAGTAGTATTGCTCTTGTTGTTGGTGTGATAAGCCAAAATATGTATAGTGACTTGTAGGTTTGAGGAGGAGATTTCCAAGTTTGCTCTTGAGTTTGATAGCAAACTGAGTGCAACGAATGTCAGTATGACAGATAAGGGATAAGTCAGAGGTTAGCACCTCACTGACTTTTCAGAAACAACAAGATCAATGCTTGGAAGCTTGGAAAAGATGTGGAAGTATGTGATAGTCGATTTACTGTATTGTCTGCTTGCCCTTTCTTAAGGAAAGAGCAATCCTATTTATGCTAAAGGAGTGTAGTTCTCTCATTTTCCAAGACTTTCCATGACTAACCAGGCTTGGTAACTGTAGTCGACGTAAGAGAATCCCATAGAACCATCTCCTAGGTCCCTAGCCTATAGGAAGTGAAAGGAGGTCCAATGTCAGAGTACCCCTATAGACAAATTATGTCATAACTTAACCAATCTTGTGGGTAACTAAGGAGCGATGACGTGTAATGAATCATAGATGGTTGTAGAAGCTTTTGGAGCTATCGTTCATGTTCCTAGGCCTCTAGTTGATAGAGATATGTCATGTGTAGTATTAGCCCAGTAACTAAGGAGTGATGTCATGTAATGAATCATAGAGGGTTGTAGAGATATGCTATGTGGTCATATCGGCGCAGTAACTAAGGAGCAATGATGTGTAATGAATCATAGAGGGTTGTAGCAATCGTTGAGTAGTATTGCTCTTGTTGTTGGTGTGACAAGCCAAAATATGTATAGTGACTTGTAGGTTTGAGGAGGAGATTTCTAAGTTTGCTCTTGAGTTTGATAGCAAACTGAGTGCAACGAATGTCAGTATGACACTCAGCTTTGTCGTTTCTTTCATTGTTGCTTTCATCTTCGATAATTAAAGGCTCTTCTGCTGGAATTAATAAGGTGTATGGGCATACAAAAGCGAGCTCAGAAACCTACTTTGATTATTGCCTGGCACATAGACCGAGTTCGAGATTGTAGCATCAGTAAGCAGACGGCTCTCGTCGATCAGTTGGTGCTTCGAGATATGGAGAGGCTTCTGGTTCTGATGTGGCATCTTAGGGGTGTCTCCGTTCCAGGAGGCCTGAAACATCGCTTTAAGAGATGGGAGGAAGTCATCTAACGAGTCGTTATCTTGTACAATCTGCTCTGATGCTACAGGTGTTGATATGCTGGGTTGTAGAGACCGTAAATGCTTGTTCAACGCCGGCCTCGTCAGCTGAGCATGTGAGGCTTTCAATGCGGGATTGGGCTTATAAAATTCAACACAGTTCATGTTCACGGTAGCCATGCTGAACAGAGTAGGACGCTGAGTGGAAGAATAGACTTTAACAGAGTAGAACACTGAGTGGAAAAATAGTCTTTTTCAAATGAGTCTCTCGAGCGGAATGAAGGAGCTTATATAGAGGTGTGCACGTTCGCCCCACTCTGTCGACTCACTAGAATCTGCGAGCCCCTTTACTTCCCTGATTTTCAAACTCCATGTCACGTCATCCTTTTCCGTGCTCTGCAACTAGGCAGTGGACTTTTCGCATCATGCCTGACCCCGATTTCCATCATCCACAAGTTGTAGTCTGAGGGTTTCGTTGATTGGGCTGTTGCAATTGACTAATCATTCTAGCTGAAAGTTTAGCGCTGTGGTCGGCCCCTCTGCTGCCAAATGAGAGTCATGTCCGGACTGTGCATATTGTGGAGGCGATTGCTTTGCAAGCCCCAATCAACCATGTAAAGGCCGGATGGAATGGCATCTGAGGTCAGACGACACTGCCTGCCTGACGCTAATGATTGTCCACTCTCCGTATCCATTTGTTCGCAATCCCGGTAGTATTCCCAAATGAGCGCCTCGAAACGAAGGTGAATGGCAACAGCCTGTAACACAGGGATGATCGCGCTCGCGATGGCCTTCAAGAGGGATCACCACTTCAATCTCAAGTCGGCCCTTCTCTCGAAGATCAGCCTAGAGGCAGACGTCGCTGCGCAAGACCTG